TTATATAACACTTGAAGGTCAACATTAATTACTTTATTCTTTACTGCACCCATCAGTAATTCAACATTCTTTACAATAATGCGCTGCAGTGATTTAAAAAAGTTCTCCATAAACAGTTGTGGGACTAAGTCAGAAATTATCAAAGAATCCCACGTTGGAGATACAGCAATACATCCTAAATAATTTACTTCTTTGATGAATTCATTTGTTAATCTACAAACCACTTGTGTTAAAATCATTCCTCCAAGACTATATCCAATAGTCATAATTGGGGCTTTAGGGTATTGGCTATGAATTGTTTTAAATGAAGTAATTGAATCATCCAAATTTGTAGATGAGTATGCTCGAGGAGTTTTAATTAATGTCCCCGCACATCCACGACAAGTAAACACACACATACGATAATTCTTTTTTGATGCATAGTAACAAAAACGTTCAACATATGATTCTCTTGAACCACCAGCAAGGCCATGATAAACTAATATAATCGGTGCATCATCTGGTAAGTCTGGTTGGTCTAACCAATCTAAAGCAAAATAACCACCATCTGAACTATCAACAAGTTGTCTGTTAAATTTCAATGGAACACTAAAACGAATTCCAACATATAACATTTGTTGAATACCAGAACCTATTGGCACTGGAAGTTGGAATGGACGAAGAATAATCTTTTCAGACAATATTTTGCACAAAGAAGAAGGGGATGAAATAAGTGAAGGTTTGTCTTCTTTTAAATTAGGTAAATGAATCAAAAATAAAAATATAATCAACGATAATATCATCATTGAGATATGTAAAGTAAATAAAGAAAAGAAAAGCATCAACATTAACATAATTTGAGTATTTTTTAGAGGGTCCTGTTTAAAGAAATTAAAGAAATCTTGAATTGTTAAAAGGATAGATAGAATAAGGGTTTGTATTAACAAGACAAAGTTCATTAATTTATTTTTTTAAGTTCATTTATCGTTTTTTCTTTCACCTTATTTTCACTTCATTTATTTCAATTTTCTTTTATCAAAAAAGTTTATAAGCATTTTGATAGAGAAAAAGAATATGAAATTTAATAGAACAAAAGAAATAGATGAGAAGGTTCATAAATGTCATTATAATCATTGAACTAATAAAAATAAATAACAAAGATTAAATTAACTTATGAATTAAAAACATATAAAAAATTTTCCTGAAACAAGTTTTCTTAACTGTTTAATTCTAATTCATTATAGTTCTATGCAAGAACCATGTCAAAATCCTGCTTTTCAAACAAAAGAAGATTTCTTAACAAAATCACTCGGCCAATCTGGTTTAAGAGTTAAACCAACAGTTATTCCAACAAAAGATGGAAGTATTTCTGGGTTTATTGTTATTACTAAAGAAAAGACTTTTCTTATTGCTGTAGAATCAACAACTATTCAAATAGTATTTTGTTGTTATAATTACAAAGGAGTAGTTGCTGATGTTATTGTATCTCCAAACCTACCACTTAGAATGTATTGTATGAACCATCAAGGCAGGGTATTGTATTGTATTGGAATGAAAGATTCTTGGGAAGAAATGATTGAATATGACATTAAAGGTAAATGTTATGCTTATTCTATCATTTCAAATGTTGGAGAACCTATGAAATGTTTTAAAACAACACAACGATATTTGTTATTAGTTTGTTTTTATTTAATAAACATCATTTAATAATAAGACATTAATTATTCATTAACAGGGATTTGAGAGAGGGATTAGAATTTATAAATTTGTGAATGAAATTAAGCACGAACTTAATCATCTTATAGACGTTGAATGTACTATCCCTTCTTTTGAAAGTATAGCATTGAGTAATAGATATGTTATTGTTCCTACTAATGATAAACCAGAAAAAGAAGATGAAGTCGCTTCTGGAGCAATGTCTTGGATTATGAAATATCCAGGAGGATATATAAAAGTGATTGACTTAATTACTCAAAAACAAATTGGACATTTTGTTGGTTCTACTTATTCTCCTGTTCAATGTATTTCATTTAATGGAAATAGTAATTTATTCACCATTGCAGATAAATATGGAAAGTCAATTAGAGTTTATCGTATTAATGAAGTTGAGTCTATAAAGAAACAAATTGAATTACTTTATGTATTTAATAGGGGAAATTCACAAACCATAATTAAACAATTAAGTTTTTCTTACGATTCTACAATTCTAATAATACTCTCAAGTCAGTCATTACGTTTTATCCCAATAAATCCAAAACATCAAGGCACATATGAATCAATTAAAGATGGAAAAGAAAGTCTTCTTATTAAACCATCTTCTAAAATTCAATGTGTTACTGAAATGAGTGGGACTTGTAATGGCAAATACAATTTTATTGTTTGTACAGAAGATGGAACAACTACTATTATTCGATTTGAAAAGAAAAATAATGTGTTAGAATGGACAGAAAACAAGTTAGTAACATTTGACCTTCTCAATTTAATAAACTCATTTAAGAGTAAAGATAAACTTTTTATTACTCCTTTTTCTCCATCTCTCAAGGAACGTGACTCCTTATTAAAATGGTTTGTTTCTAATTGAACGTTCTTATTTCTTTTTTTTTGACTATAAGAAAACAAAAGGTCAATTAATAGATATATCTACAATTTGATATTATGAATATTGAGAAGTGATTATTTCTGTTTCTTC